CGATTATTGTAGCATCAAACAAATTTAGGTGCTTGGTTTCAACTATGCGCGTGAACAACACAAATATCGTGAAATGACTATAGCCAGATGACCATGCGGGAGGGAAACTGAATGATTTTGTTGATTGTTCCTGACAGGTGACATGGCTGGTCTGGCTGTGGGTATGATCGTCCTCGGGGTACTTCTGGCCGTGGGCTTCCTCTACCTCATGGCTCATTCTTGGGGGTCCAAGACTCCAAGCCTGAACGTATCTTTTGCAAGCCTCAGGCGCAAATCTGAGAGAAGTGTTGATTAAAATACATTAAGCGTTTTTTAAACTAGGTCCATCTGTAAACCGAACTCAAGTGTATTTAGAAGTTTCAATTTCATTCTATAGAGACTTTTCAACTAAAATTGTTTAGTAAAAATACATTGGAAGCTTTTTTAAAACTTGGTACATTCTGAAACCGTACTCTAGTCTCATATCATATACTAACTAGCGTCGCTATAATAATAATAATAATAATAATAATAATAATAATAATAATAATAATAATAATAATAATAATAGCGATGTCAGCGTTCAACAGGCAGTTGAACCTGACGAAGATTATGAAAAACGCGAACATTCATAGCTTATTGTGGATTGCGAACTCGCAATTCACTGCCGCAATTTTGCAATTCTTAACCCCCCGACATTCTTGCCGATTTGATCATAAATAAATATTCGTACACTTGAAACACTTTTTCTACACTTGACCGTCGCAGGATGATGGGATTGAACCCGCACCTCTGTGCTCCAATCATGGTACTGTAGTGATCTCGGCAGTATTGTTAGAATAACATAAGATGTAGACACCTTGCTAATTCAATATTGTACATATTGTCATCCGTAACAATGGTCAGTAACAACGGCCAGTAACAACAAAAATCATAGTCAACTATAACAAACATAATTTGCGAAGTGTTTTATAATACTTTTAAGATCCGATAAGAACAATTATAAAATTGAACACTAGAACAGCAACCATAGCACAATTTGATACCTAACGATGGCAACATCTTGAAAGACTTCCGGTTTTCTCGGAGGCCTATTCCGAGCCCTTCACTCTTGCCCTGACGCCAACATGCGAGGTTGCCCACCGTGCCCTCCTTAGTAGTTCTTTATAGGTGTTGTGATATCTATACACTGGGCCTATTTTACGTAGGCCTACATGTTGACATCAAACTAAATAAACTGAAACCACGGACCTGCATCCCCTATTACCCTACCTACGTTTAGGGAAGCCTCAGTCAAATATAAAATCGTCAGCACAATATTAAACGAATAGTATCCCTCAGTACTCTGAACAGTAACCACTGGGCTGCCTTCCTCCTGGATCGCGTGAAAAATATTTGAATTTTGCGTATTGAGAGCATATTATAAATAGTATCCCTCAAATATAGTATAATCTATTTTGAACACTTAAATATAGCAGCAAACGAAAAAACCAAGATATTGGAGTTCGAATTGTATAAGAAACGATCGAATACATATTTAAATTTTTTATTCTAGTGTCCCTTTTCAGAATATATAGCTTGAAACGATAACTATCTATAAGGTAAGAGGACTTACTGATGAAACTGTCATTTCAAATGTTTTTTTTCGAAACATTAATACTCGGATAAAATTTGTTCAAAATTTCCGCGGATGCGGTCAACCGTCAATCGGGTTCGGGTTCATCGCGGCGACGACTCGAGTTTTCTTTAGATGACAGCCTGACAGACTGACGACCGTGACAACCTGCCAGTGACAGGTCTTGGTATTCGACAGTTTTAGCTGGCAATGGCATTGACGATATTAGTTGGAATGTCGTTCTCAACTTCTCATGCTAGCGGCTATTGGTTCTAAGTGATTTCCAAGGATGTCTAATTTTAATTTTAACACCACATGATTCTGAACGAAGCGTCTAGTCACTCTAGTGCAACTTTTCTTTGCGTAATTGCGTAACTTCGTAAGGCCCTAAGCAGTCACAAGTCAGTTAGCCGTACTTAACGCGGCCGCGAGGCGCACATGCCTCCTGCTCCCCTCACCCCTGCCTGATAACTTATCAATATATATACGTTTTAAAATTACTTTTCATGTTTTCAAATAGGCTTACAAGTTGTTACAACACTTCTAAAGAATCCAGTGTCTCCAATGTTACAGATCATAACAGTCATAACTAGGACTAGGAGTCTAGGTAGGTATAACAGATGTAGCTAGGTAGGTACCCACAATGAATTTCTCATTTTATTTCAAATATAAAAAATTTTTTTTTTTTCAATTTTTTAAAAATATAATTGTTTTTCCAAAATTACTTATTCTGTCATTAATTGATACTAATTGATTCATCATTTCATGCATTGCCTCCAACTTCACACTGACACTAGTGACTAGTGTGCTGCGTGCAAAATTTCAGATCAATTAGACAGGTAAAAGTGTGTCAAATATCAATTAAATGACTTGTACTTGTAGCTCAGTAGCTGAGTAGGGTAAACTCGGTGTATTCCGACATCGTAGGTAATTCCGTCACCTCTCCAGCTTTTCCTTTATATTAAGCTTTGTTTTAGTTCCATGCGTTCATTGATGGTTGAAATGGTGACGTCATACATTTGATTTGCGTGTTGAAATATTGCAAAAACACTAGGTCTTGGCCATCTAGTGGGAAAATATTGAGATCCAAAGAGAGACAATGCATGCCACGTGGTGAGATCATCGAAAAATGTGTCAAATTTGACAGTTGACATAGCTGAGTGAGTGATGGCTCTACCAAATAGTGAATAACTGTTTTTATAGGAAGAATATTATGGTTTGAGACTTTTAAATACATCTGTGAATATATTAGGAATCCTTTAAGTATACTTGTATTTGCTGATTTCAAGTCGTAAATAAATTAATAGATGATTAAGTTGAGATGTTGGATTTAGACACATGAAAACTCATTCCGACACAACTTGAATTGGACACACACAGATCGTTCAAAGCTTTGTACAAAAATTGAAATTTGCATCGTTAGTGTTCTAATTCAAAGCCGTGTTGTATCCCAATACAGCTCAGTGCTCACACAGCAAACGGAATTCGAACAAGTGGATGTCGGCAATACGTATCAGTTAAATTTGAAGCGCTGACGCAATACGACTCACCATGTGTCGAATATTGCCACACAAAGTGACGGAATATAGGGATTTGGTAGGTTTCCATTCTAAAGGCTTTTTAATAAATATGGCAACATTTTGTGACGTTTCATCGTTGCTGACGCGTAGTGAAGTGTTTTGAGAGTCATGTGAAGGCAACAGAACTTACGTAACGCATACGTTTTTTTTATAGTTTTTCATTTCTTGATGCGTTTTAATGTGTCGGAATATACCGCGTTTACCCTAAGCTGACAAAATTATTATTTTAATTTTTTTAATACTGAAATTTTTTTTTAATTTTCAAAATTATTTATTTTGTCATTTGATTCATGCATTGTCTCCAATTTTATGCAAGTGTGCCAAATTTCAGATCGATTGGAGTAATTGGACAGGTAGAAGTGTGTTAAATATTGATTATAAGATTTGTAGCAGTAGCAGACAGACAGACAGACAGACAGACAAACAAGAAGTGAAGGTAAAGAAAAGACTGAAAAGTGTTGTAAAATGTACAACCAGTCTCCAGCTTTCAATTTGCATACTACTAAGGAGAGTGGAAAAAGAAAATTGATGTATTTGATTGTCACTGACAGTGTCAGTTTGTCACTACAGTCACTTGTCAGGACTTGGATTGGAAATTGATATTCACTTATTGTAATCATTTTCCTATTTCTGTTTAGTACCAGTTCTACCATAAGAGTGATAAGGCTAGGATGGATCATTGACAGGGTTATTGTGACCATTTTTAGCTCTTATTTTTTTTGTGATATAAATAGTCACATGTAAATGTATAAAATATATCCCTTGATAAGTTGATTGTATTTGTAGGTTATCTCATAGTCATACTCATAGAATGATGGATGATAGACAGAGTCTTGAAATTCATAGTCATGGTACTTTGTCTTTCAAGTGTATAGGGTTCTTTTTGAGTATTGGGTTTTTTAAAGTGTCAAAACAGTCTAAGTCACCCCAATGAAATGGTGACCCACCAATGGTCCAACTCACTCTCCAAGTTAACCTGTTAAACAGTATAGTATTTAATGTCTGTACAGCTGCAAATTGTCCTCAGCGCTCAGCCTACTCAGGAATGATCAGCCATCTTGTTGATCAAAATCTCATGAGTCAAATCTTATTTAACTTAATAATGAATATTGTTCTTTTAGCTGATTTGTAACTAGGCATTAAAAGTTGAAAATTTTATATTATTAATTATTAGTACCTATTACATAAAAATGTCTAATTGCTCAGTTTTATTAAGAAATTGAATTGTTCCTATTAGAGACCAGTAGCAGTAGAAGGTATCAGAATTCATAAATGCTGTGGCATCAGTCACAAAGTTAGGTACTAGTACTTAGTGGCATTGGTGGGAGGTTTGGGTTGTGGTGTTGGACTGTAAAGAATAGATTGCTTAGGAGTCAGTAAAATTATCCTAAACTAAAGAACGGCTCAGTAAAACTATCCTGGCACAAGTAATTACCAAAGCTTAATGCACTTAGCTTAGAAGCCACATGTTAAAATAGTTTGTGCATTAAATTGGACTGTTCAAACAATTGGGTAGAATTATTCAAAATAAATATATCAAACTGTCGAATATTTCAAAATGATCCATACATACCAGTAGTCAGAAAAATATATGGAATAAGAGAATGTGCTCACTGTGCTGCAGGTTCATAGTAGACTGAAGCAACCTTATTAACAACATTCACTTTGATATCAGCTCTCTGTAGATCCAGCCAAGCATATATACATATCTATACAAGCATGCATACATATCTAAACAAGCATATATGTAGATCCAGCCAAGCAATTATGTATATATATTATATACATAATTGTTTATAAATATATACAATTAATAACATACCACCTCATGCCAACCCTTAATGTCTTGGGCACACTCATCCAAGCTGCTCATCATTCCCCTCAGCAATAATTTGCTCTGGATTCTACTACACTGACTTGGGAACCTAAATTTGTAAGGATATGCATGAATGATTTGTTCCAAAGAGCTAGCATAGATCATGGCAGCGGTAGAGAAGGAGCTCCACAAGGATGAGGGAATGTGTGAGCAGAAGGATTTATCATCTGATGACTATGCCAAGCTTGCTTGCCATGGCATTGATCTTATGCTCAATAATGATTTTGCTGGCGCTGAGGAGCTGTTTCGCCATCATAAGGATGATAGCTGCCACATGGCTGTGGGCTATTGTTACCTTACTTTCATGGTAAGTAAAAACTTGGTTTATTTTAATTATGTTTTTTTTTTTTGTTTTTGTTCAAGTTCATTTAGAAAATTTCTTTAACTCTATGATAGTGAATTTGGTTTTAGGACTGTAAAATAATTATGGTCATATTCCTTGCTACTAACCTGATTTATTGTTCTTGTTCATGAAAAGTTTTTCTAACTATGTAGAACTTTTTCTAATTGCAATTTGTTTATATTTAGAATGCTGTAATGTCATTTGAAGAGGAGCAAATACAGCGCTGCCGAGAGTGCCTTAGAGAAACAGAGAAGAAATACCGTCACTTGAACTCAAACTCTGCGACTACCTGTTCTCCTCTATCCCCCGGCTATACTGATGTGTCGTGGTACAGCTCTGTTAAGAACCTTTTTGCAGGGGCTTATGCCAAGCAGGTAAGTCTCTTCTAACAAACCAAATTACGGGTATCTGCTTTCAGAGGGACACATTATATTCACAGATATGAATGTGGACATCTTTTGTGCATTATAACACATTTAGACTTATTAGTCACTGTATTAGTTGACTGCAATTATTTATCTGCTTGTCTTACATTTTATAATGTATGAATTGTGTAACAGTTAAATATCCAAGTATTAACCTAATAGATAAGATAATTGTAGTTTGGAATTACCTATTACTTATTATGTAATGCAACAAAGAACATTTGAAAGCCCATTTTTTGTACACTTTTTGAGTTTTCACCTGTATTCATGTGGGATATAATTATGTGCCAAATTTCAAATTAAAGAAATAAGTTCAAAAATGACAAAAGGTCATTTAAAAGTTCAAAACTCTTTTCAGCAGCTAGTGTGTGCCTGAATATCCACAGTTTTTGTAGGAAGACCCTTTGTTTACTTCAAGGAGCTTTTTTTTTTGCAGGCTGAAGATCCTGTTTGGTTGCTGGAACACCATGTAGTCTTGGCCGACTGCCAGGTGCTTCAAGCCTTGCTGAACTTCCTGCAGCAAGAGCTCGGCTCAATGATGAAGGGTGGCTGGGTCTTGCGTAGAGCCTGGAAAGTTTATGATGCAACCTACAGCCGTCTTGTTTCCATGTACAATGCAGCCGTGTCAGCAGCTCCTATGTCAGGTCATGCCAGTGCTTGTAAGTTATTAATAATTAATATGTTTCCCTTTAAATAAATCTCTCTGGAAACTTAGTATTTTTTTTAATTTATTGCAGTATTTTTTTAGTGCTGTGAAATATCCCCTGCTTGGAAGTATCTATTAAATTTTTAAATTAAAATAGTTTTTTGTTTATGAGTGCCTAATGCTGTTAATTAATGAGTGCCCAATGCTGTTCTAATTATTTTAGTCTCTTTTCATTTTCTTCATTCTTATCTTTCTAAGATTTTTTATGCAGATAATTTTTGATGATGACCAACAATGCAGTTTCTACTTTCTCACTCTCATCCCAATCTTTCATCAATCTTGATTTCTTAAAATTCATCTCATGCCTCAACTCTTGCTCTAATATTTGCCTCAACCTTTGTTCTGACCAAGCAGCGGACTCCAAGCCTGACCCCTTCTCACTTCCTGCTAGCCCTTTACCCACTGACATCAACATATCTTGTTCTCTCTCCCCTGATGCTCTTCAAATAGTGAAATCTGATTGCTCTGACCCCGCAGCACCTGTCCAAAATAATGCACAATTAAAATTTAACACTTCTTCATCTGAGGTTCACAGTGATACTCAATCAAGTAATCAAAATGAGTCAAAGATTGATAATGGAAACAACCAGAAATATGCTAGACCCACAACTTTGAGTTATTTCTCTTCAGCCCTTCTACCATCATCCCTCAAGTGTTCTCTTAATAAGGCACTTGCCTCCCCCACTGTCTCTTCTAATGGACAGCTCACCTCCCCCAACTCTGCTAATAAGTTGCCTGTCCCCCACAACTCTTCCTCATATGTGTTTCCCACTTCTCCCACTTCTGCAGAGGCTTGCACACATTCCCCCCCTGATGGGAAATATGATTTTACATCCTCTCCTGTTTCTTCACTGAAACCCTCTGATGCACCTGAGAGATCCAAGTTGTGGTCCAATAAAATGAGTGTGTCAAAGTCTGTCCCAAACATTAGAACTCTCTTTTCTAACAAAAATTGCACAAATAACTTAACAAAATCCAGGAATATCCTAAATAACACATCATCCTGCAGGTAAGAGTAAGACTATTTCATTCCTGTTTCAGAAATATTTTACTTACTCTATTTGTATTTGCCTATTGTGATGCAAAACTTAATTGTTTACCTGCTGAAATGGAAGTAAGTCAAAGCCTTTAAAGAAAACTTCCATCAATTATTCCACTATGTAAATGAGTGATCATTGACAAACTTGTTTCAAAATTATTTCTATATCTTACTATTAATTTAATCTATATATCTTATTATTATCTTAATTATCTATATAATTATCTTATATCTTATCAAAATTATATCTAATATCCATACTACTGCCAAACAGAGCTGGTGGTGAAGCTCTTCCTCCTCCTGCACCACCATCTCCACTAAGCGTGTCACCACCGCTGCTGCAGCAATATATTTTAATATTATATACATTTAATATCCATACTACTGCCAAACAGAGCTGGTGGTGAAGCTCCTATAGCTATTGTATAAGTGTACCTATGATATAGCTATTGTACAAGTGTACCTATGATATAGCTATTGTATAAGTGTACCTATGATATAGCTATTGTATAACTGTACATATGATATAGCTATTGTATAATCCAATACAAAGACGATGTCTGTAATTACCCCTCGCTGTGCAGGTGCTGGGAGGGCTGCCCGGAGACCGGACCACCGCCCTGCAGGCGCTCATGCGCACGCGCGCCTCCCGCGACATGCGCGCGCCCCTCGCCTCGTCAGTACCTAATATTTTACATTATTTACAAATACATGTTGTTAATATGACAAAAAAGTTTATAAGATTGTACGTGAATATGGTGTTGCGTACCTATGATGCTGGTATGTATAAGACATAAGCATTATACTATACTGGTGCTATACTGGTGCTATACTGGTGCCTGGTGCTATACTGGTGCATCAGAGCCACAACGCGCTCTGAGTTAGTATCATTGCTGTGGTACCATCAGAATGAGCCTGCTGTGGTACCACGCAAGGAAATAAAATGTTAGAATGCTGAATTTAAAGATATTATTATTTGACAAGAAAGTTTATATGATTGTTCGCAAAAATATGCAAGGTAATAAAATAGTAGAATGCTGAATTGAAAGATATTATTATTTGACAAGAAAGTTTATAAGATTGTTCGCGAATATATTCAAGGAAATAAAATATTGGAATGCTGAATTTAAAGATATTATTATTTGACAAGAAAGTTTATAAGATTGTTCGCAAATATATGCAGGGAAATAAAATATTGGAATGCTGAATTTAAAGTATTATTTGAAAAGAAAGTTTATAAGATTGTTCGCAAATATATTTAAGGAAATAAACTATTAGAGTGCTGAATTTAAAGATATTATTATTAGACAAGAAAGTTTATATGATTGTTTGCAAATATATGCGAGGAAATAAAATAGTAGAATGCTGAATTTAAAGATATTATTATTTGACAAGAAAGTTTATATGATTTTTCGCAAATATATTCAAGGAAAAAAATATTGGAATGCTGAATTGAAAGATATTATTATTTGACAAGAAAGTTTATATGATTACTGCTGTGGTACCGATGTTAGTATCATTGCTGTGGTACCATCAGACTGAGCCTGCTGTGGTACCACACAATCGTACGCCCCTACCTCGGCCTGGACGGCCTGGACGGCCGGCAGCGGCGTGTTGCCGGCGGTGGCGCTGCCGTAGAGGCGGCACGGCTGCTGCTGCAGGAGGTGCGGCCGCTGTACCCGCGCTCTGCGCTCTTCCTCTTCTTCAGCGCCAGGGTCCATAGACTCAAGGTATTGTTTGTACATTTTATGTATATAAACCTAGAGTATTTATAACTATGCCTTTATAATTATACGAGATGTAGTATGTTCAATTTATATTTATACCTACGTAGTTATTTGGAATACTTACAAACGACCGTGCTACCCAATAGATCTCATTTCTTTTAAATTCGATATGCCCCCTTCCTCTTCTTGCAACTCCAGGGTATATACCAACTCAAGGTATGGTATTCACACTCTATGTTTATTACCTATTTGATGTCGAATGAATTGATAGATATATTTCAACGATTTTTTCGAAAAATTTATGCAAGAATGTGCGTTAATCACCGAAATAACGTTGCCTTGAAATTAATGAAATACCGTGTAACTGTCTATTGTATTATGTTCCCTAACTTCATTTTTCTTGTGTCTAATTCTTACAAACAGGCGGTCACAGAACGATGGAATTTTCAAAACAAATGGTATTGGGTTGTGCCAGGAATAGTGACTTTTTGCTGTTGGATTCCTCCAAAGATAGCATTTCATTTCTTTTAATTGGACGCAGACGCTCCTTATAATAGTAAAGTTTTGTTTGAAAGTCACGCTGAAATTACAGTGTATAGTACAATTCTCGGCAGTTCGTCATTGCTCAAACAATGCACAGGCACATCTCAAAGTTCATATTTGTTTAGATCAGTGGTTACCAAACTTTTTCAGGCTGGCGCCCCCTTTGGCTCCCCAGTGAATCTCTAGCGCCCCTTCCCCTCCGACAGACATATATAAAAACATACCCATCTTTCTTGATATTTAGTACGCTGCAATTTTAAAAGAGAAAGGTTAAACACAAATGTGTATTTCTCAAGTAGAACCCCATTTAGTAAAGCAATAACGGTATATATTTTACAGTTTAATTGTTCCAGCACTAGAAATTCTAGACGGCTGGGATAAATTTACGGCCGGTCTCGCAGCCGGTCTCATGGCCAATCTCCAAATTCAGTGACCAAGGAATATCTCCCAAAGTAATGAACGCATCTCGATAAAACTTGGAACACGTATTCATTAGGACCTAACAGTGATGTTTAGCCCGTGAAAAAAAAGTTTAAATTTCACCTTCATTCGAGAGTTATATGACGACATGGGCCGAAATTCACAGTGATCGAAGAATTTCTTCCAAACTAATGAACAGATTCTAACGAAATTCCGAATATAAATTCCTAACTACCAAACGGTGATTTTTAGCTCGTGAAAATTTATTGGATTCGGAGTCATGTTCTGCATGTGTTGTGTGAAAATCGTCAAACAAACGTACGAACTTCTGACTTCGACTTCGCGGACTGCCGCCCCCCTACTGCCCCAGATCTTTCCACCGCCCAAAGTGGGCGATATCGCCCACTTTGGGAACGACTGGTTTAGATTTATAGTATTATTGGTGTAGTTACGCAGAACTAGTTATTTGATGCGGGTTTTACTGAAGACCAGAGTGTAATTCTGTCATTTCTAAATATTCTGCATTTTCTCGTCAAAATATATGTGTCTGAACTTAGGGCAGCAATTACACTCTCCATACTAGTTTATTCGAATAACTCCATCAGGGCAAGCTGTAGTCTGCCATTGAGTACCTACAGCGTCGAAATAACGCTCTTCGTACTCTTACTTCTGAAATGAAATATATTAATTTTCTCCTTATTTAAAATAGTTTTTTTTCTACTTTATTACCTTCAGGGCGAGCTGGAGTCTGCCATTGAGCACTACATCATTGCAATAACGCTCTTTGTACTCTCATCTTTCAAATAAAATATACTTATTTTCTCCTTTAAAATAGTTTCTTCTCCACTTTAATATATTCAGGGCAAGCTAGAGACTGCCATAGAGGAGTAGTACATCATTGCCATGACACTCTTCGTACTCTTATTTTTCAAATAAAAACTACTAAGTTTTCCTTATTTAAAATAGTATTTTTCCTCATTTAAAATGCTTTTTCTCTACTTTATCACGTTAAGGGCGAGCTGGAGACTGCCATAGAACAGTACAGCGTCGCCATGAGGCTAGCCAGTCACCGGGAGCTGCGGCTGCTGAGCCTGCACGAGGTAGGCTGGTGCCGCCTAGCCTGCCTCGACTTCCTGCAGGCCGCTGCTGCCTTTGATGGCCTGCGCCGACACTCACGCTGGTGCAAGACCTTCTATGCTTATGTTGCTGCTGGTAGGTTCATTATGTCTTTATGATGGTATTATGAAGTAGTTAATACGCTTATGTTGCTGCTGGTAGGTTCATTATCTCTTTATCATAATATTATGACAATAAAAGGACAATATAAGTCTTTATAGCCTACTATATCTACTATATAGCCTAGTAAGTCTTTAAGCCTACTATATCTACTATATATTTATTATAGCCTACTATATCTACTATATAGCCTATATGTAGGACAATATCTAAGTCATTATAGCCTACTGGGAGCGATGGCTGTCTCGTACGGTTTTATATGTTGATTATGTGCTTATCTTCATAGTAATATTATGAAGTAGCTAGGTATTTTCTGACCTACTGACTGCGATTCTGTTTCGTGACCGTGAAGTTTTATATTAAATCTCACTGACAGAGATGTCTGTCACTGACAGAGATGTCTGTCACTGACAGGGATGTCTGTCACTGACAGGGATGTCTGTCACTGACAGGGATGTCTGTCACTGACAGGGATGTCTGTCACTGACAGGGATGTCTGTCACTGACAGAGATGTCTGTCTCTACACTTTATGTCTCACTGACAGGGATGTCTGTCTCTACACTTTATGTCTCACTGACAGGGATGTCTGTCTCTACAGTTTATNGGGATGTCTGTCTCGTACACTTTATGTCTCACTGACAGGGATGTCTGTCTCTACACTTTATGTCTCACTGACAGGGATGTCTGTCTCGTACACTTTATGTCTCACTGACAGGGGCGTCTGTCACTGACGTGTATGTCTGTCACTGACAGGGATGTCTGTCCCTACAGTTTGTTACGGCGCGTGCGGCAGGAGGGAGGAGAGCGTCGCCCTGCTGCAGGCCGTCCCTCAGCTCGCCCGTAACACCAACGCCGTCCTGGAGACCTTCCTGCTGCGCCGTGCTGCCAAGGTGCTATACTAGTGCTATACTGGTGCTATACTGGTGCCTGGTGCTATACTGGTGCTATACTGGTGCTGTACTGGTGCTATACTGGTGCTATACTGGTGCTGTACTGGTGCTATACTGGTGCTGTACTGGTGCTATACTGGTGCTATACTGGTGCTATACTGGTGCTATACTGGTGCTATACTGGTGCTATACTGGTGCCTGGTGCTATACTGGTGCCTGGTGCTCTACTGATACCTGGTGCTCTACTAATACCTGGTATAGGTACCTGGTGCTCTAATTATTCCTAATACAAACTTAAATAAATGCATCAGATGTGAATCGTAATTTTACTTACTATTATTCGTTCCAGTGAATGTGTTGTATCAGAGGAGTGTTTTGTTTTTAGGGCTTGAAACTTCAAATGAAAAAATTTATTGTCACGGTATTCAATGCTTTATTTTAACTTGCAATATCTAGTAAAATTATAGGCTTAGTAGGTAGATATTTTAGATACCTACCTTGGTTAGCCTACCGGTACCTTGTCTAATTATCTTTCACTTATTTCAGAAATTTATTTAAATTTGAGCCAGTTCTTTAGTATTTTTGGAACATGCTTGTTTTGATATGCTACAGTTATGTCCATTCACATTAATTTTAAAGGTGTGTTCTATTGATATCACTTAACACTAGTGAGTGTACGAGGGGGTTTCGAAAACTTCGTTGAGAATTGACATAACTGAAAATTTTATGAAATAATATAATGTCAACGCCTCAGAGTGATCCTGTACCAATTTTTTATAACTTACAGTTAAGATACGAAATCATTCGTACACCCATTTATTTTCCGTGTTTTCTTAAATAACTCGAAAATGCATGAATGTATGAGCCTAAGTTTTGATTGAACTAAGCGTTTGTTTTAGGGAAAATAATGCTACGTTTTAAAACAAAATGTAATTTCAAAACGTTTCAATATGGAAAAATATCCCAACACCTTCAGCCACAATTATTCCTATGGTTGGAAAATACTAACATAGTTGCATTAATATTAATCAATGGCATGTCCTTCCATTTTGATAATCTCCAGCAGTCTCTTTAGTTTCTGATGAAATTCGCAGTGGTATCCGGTTTGATATCATCTCATTCTTCGTTTCAATTCTTCAATTCTCATTCTTCGTTTCAATTCCTGGCGATTCTTGGGAGGCCGATTATTGATTCTAACTTTTAAGTCTTGTCACAAATTCTCATTCAGCTTCAAGTCGCGGTTATTTGCTGGTCATTCAAGAACAGTCATCTTTGTTTTATTAAGCCAAATTGTCGTATGTCTTTCGACGTAGGCTTCGAATCATTATCTTGTTGAAAGGTCCATCGTCGTCGCAAATCCAAATCGAGGTATGCGTCCATGCGGGCCATTCTTTAGTACGCTGAATCACGCTTGTTCCCTCACTAGCTATTGTGTTGGCAAAGTCCTTCAACACCGTTTTTATTCATAATTACCTCAAGTCACAGTTTTCGTTCCGCCGGTTTGGCTTCCGTCCTCATCCAAGCAACGTGTGTGCAGTACCTACTAAATTCTATAAACTTCTTTATCACCGACTGTACTGTTGATCTTAGAATAATCATGCGTTTCGATAATGCACCCGAGATGCACCCATATCCATTGCTAGATTTGTGTAGGCCAATAATTTGCTTCTCAAATGCACACTTGGTAATTTTGGTAGGTACTTGTTTGGGACATAGCAGCCTCAGGCTACGATGGATCGCCGCCTATGATTATCGTTCATCCGCCCTCATTTGGGCGGGAGCGCAGCCCTACACCACAAATTTAGCTCGTAAACAAGCCCTGGCGCCAACGTCTACACTATAATGCAATAACTAAACTCAGCTCACACCCAAGAAGCTGTAGGTAACTGGGTCATCTCCCCACACCAAATTTAAGCAACACCTACCTCACTCCACAGCCTGTTGAATAAAATAGTCAATTGTCAACAGGTCCTACTCCACAGAATTTTACCCCATACTATCACTTCTTACTAACGCCGTAAGCCTTACTGGCCGCAGACCACGCCGGATCACCGAAAACCTGCTCTGCTATTTGCAGGACTGGCGAAATACCGCCGCACTCCACGGGCAGAAGCGCAAACCGCCGTCCCTATAACGCCATGCCCCGGCTCTCCCCCTTCGCAGCCATAAGGCTTTCTTCAATTGCTGATCAGTTGTGCGCCAGGTTAGGTTAGGTTAGGTCCTTCCATCGCGCCAGGCGCATTACTGATCGGGCAACGAGAAAAGCCTTCTGCTGGCTGGAAAGGGGGAGAGCCGGGGCATGGCGTTATAGGGACGGCGGTTTGCGCTTTAGCCTGTGGAGTAGAGCGCCATGAAGCAGTGGCTGTGACGTAAAGGCGCTGTTATGTCGGGCGCTTATTTTCAAAAGCCGCGAATACGCCAGGCTGTGTTTAATACAAGCACGCAACAGTTTGGCTATTTGCTCACGACTGTTGCTTCGGTGGCTTGATGTCAGTTGGCTGATTGATTCATATCCAGGAAAGGAAATGACACCTATGGCTTTAGGCACTTAATCACACAGGCTAATATGCCCTCTAGCGTGATTACTAGCGGAAAGGAATAGATATTGAATTGTGGGCAACGGCTATGTAGCGGTCTATACTGCGTCCCATTTGGGCCACCTGATGCACGATGCTGTTGCTTGCTTCTCGCCGCTGGTAGTGTTGCAGGGGAGGTCGATCTGGGATTGTGCTCAGGAACACGTCTAGCTGTCTCTTGAAGGTCTCCAGGGTGAACTCCCCCTCTCTTAGATCCCTTGGTAGGGCGTTGAACAGCCTTGGACTTGCCACGGAAAGTGGCAGTGGCACCCCATTCACACTGCGCCGAATGTGAACGGGGTCCAGAGCTGGCAGCAGTTCTGGACCCCGTGCACACCCTGCGCAGTGCGGCAACTGGAAGGTGTCCAGCGAACCTTCACTTCCAGGATCAGAGGGATGGAAGAGTTGAACTACTGGGAGACCACACTGAGCTTCTTCGTCTTGCCCATCTTGAAGTTTACTTTCAAATGCCAGGAACCGACACTTCTTGAATGACTTCACCGATAATAATGTCCACTGGGATTAGTTCACACAAATCTTAGGCTCATATCTTCATTAATTTTCAAGTTATTCAAGAATATATTGAAAAGATGAGCCATACGAATAATTCCGTTGCTAAGTTTATTCTCACACGAACCCTTAAGTTGATGCTACAAACAATGGGCGCTGGTTTAAAAGCAGCAATTAATTATTAAAGCAACATCGCAGATGCCGAAATCGAGGCCAGGTCAATCATCTAATTGATGATGAAGCTTTGGTGGAAGAACTGCAAATCGTTGATTCTCTGGAACAAGTTTATAGGGTCAGTGCCACAAAAAAATCAGTAACCTACAAATGGTTGACAAAAAATGACTGACAGCGTCGCTAGACAGAAAATAACAGAAAATAATTTGTCTGTAGAGAAGAATTTGTATGTTTATAATTATAAAAAATATAACTCAGTACTCACTGCAGTGAGTGACAGAGAGCGCATTTTCTCGTCGACGAAAACTTGAGGTCACGGACGGACGGACAGACAGACGGACATGGCGAGCGCTAGAGTGCATTTTTTCCATAAACGAGAAAATGCGCTAAAAAGGCAGGAAAACGTCCAGGGAAGCTGACACCCCGTCATATAAGCTTTATTATATTGATATGACTTAATATATTTATATATATAAGTATAGTGTCTTCGGCATTGAAGAATATGCCTGTCATGACTTGAAGCGAGCTGGGGCCATACTTTCAAAACACGCTAAGTGAACGTAAGTACTTACGCTCTATTTTCTTGTCTATGATTGGTGAATTTTGCTCGAAAGGCCGTCAATGATTGGCGGATGAACTTACGATTTCTTAACTTTTTTTGAAAGTATAGGCCCAGGGGCCGTATTATCAAAACTTCGTAAGTACGCAAAATCGACTTACGAGTGGCGTTGCTATGACAACGTAATACTAGCGGTGGTATTATAAAAACATTTGCGCGGGAAAAAAATTTAGGCTTTTAGCTAAGACTTGCGTACGAAAGTTTTGATAATGCAGAAAATTAGGGTGTATTTACGTACCACAGAACTTTTTTGTCGTGAGTACAAAAAGTTACGAAGTTTTGATAATCCGGCCCCTGGTGCCATACTTTCAAAACTCGCTAAGTGAACGTAAGTACTTACGCTCTATTCTCTTGTCTATGATTGGTGGATTTTGCTCGAAAGGCCATCAATGATTGGCTGATGAACTTACGATCTCTTAACTCTTTTTGAAAGTATAGGCCTGGCTTCTATGTTGTTATTTGTGTGTGCAGCGGAGCGCCCTACAGCCGGCCGTGTGCCGTCTGCGCTGCTACGAGCTCCTCTACCTCTGGAACGTCTTCAGCAGCTGCTCCCTCGAGCGTCTCCAGCGTCTACATGATGGTGCCCCAGCTTTGTTATTTCTTTAAGCTCAATAACGAGCTCTTCTTTAATTGATCTTCAAATGCGGCCATCCATTGTTGTATATGGCATCCATAGGGCAAGGTGGCCCAGTGGTTACAGTTCAGAGTACCAAGATTGGCGCAGAGAGGTGCGGGTTCGATCCCAGCTCTGTGCGCCAGTTTCTGGTCAGAATCGGCAAGGAGGCCGGGCCGGGAGGAGTAAATAGGCCTATCCAGGCCTATTTACTTAATGCCGAAGATACTATACTATATGCAATCATTTGAAGACGATCTGTCGTCCATTGTCGCAAGAATGCCCCATGAAAAGAAAACGTTTAAACAGTCTTCACAATATTTATAATTCAGCCTTTATTGTGATTTATCCTTGCAAAAAAAATGAGTTAAAATATTAGGTAGTGCTTTTAGACTATAGAAAATCAAAGAGATTTTGTCTTATTTACTCGCTGTGTCGGATATGAGAATGGAACCCTGGCATCTTGCGCTTATAAGAAAATACTCGCGTGCTCCTGCGCGTACACAATTAGGTTCTTACAACAAATACATGATTTATTTTATTTACTGCAAAACCAATTTTGCCTCAAGCTTACCCTGACGCACACCACCGTCGCAGCTCTGAGAAGAATAAATATGCACGACATTGTATTACTATTCATGTTGTTGTGTTGTTGTAATTGGCCATTTCGGCAGTAGCGACTAGGGAGGGGGGTGGTAGGTCAGTTTTTCCGGGCACTGGGTACCACTGGTAGTTCTACGACCATCACTGGCTCGCTGACCCGCCAGAACCATTATAGTGCATTACACAACACCCTGGACAAGCCAGGTACTCGCCAGGTTACTATTACAAGCCAGGTTACTATTCATCGTCAGCCAGACTCGTTTATCGTTGCGAAATTGTAGCCCAGAACCAACTATGCTCAACGAAACATTCAGTGCTAGCTGGTGTATACATTACTGGCCTTTTATATGTCAATAAATTAATTGGCTTGAAAGGAAATGAGAATTTTTTCTTTTTATTGAGAGGAGTAACTTGTCGATTTCTAATCATTTCCAAATAATGCAATAGCGCTCGCTAAACTCGAAATGCAAGGGCATCTTTCTAAGTACAGTAATGTTCTAATTATGTATATCTATTGTAACTGCGCTTAACATTAGCATCGTTATTGGGCTAATTATGTACCTATATGTATTGTAACTGCTTAATATTAGCATCTTTATTGGGCTAATTATATACCTATATGTATTGTAACTGCTTAATATTAGCATGGTTATATTTCAGTGAACTTTGCCTGTTACACAGACTGTGAGACCATGCGGCTGCCGCCAGACCTTGCTGCCCTGGCCAAGCTGCTGGCTGGGGTCTGCTTGGATCACCTAGACCAGCCTGAGCAGGCCGTTCTCCTCTTGCAGGAGACCGTCACTATTTGGTCTACTTTGAAGCCTGCTCATGTCGCCTCACGTACATTCTTTATATTTGGATTTATTCAAAATACTCTAATAATAAAATTGCTATAATACGCGATATAAAAACAATCTAGCAACTAAAAGTTGATAATTAAAATTATAAAATAAATACAGATAAATTTTTATAATTTTCTATTCTATTATTTCCGTATTCAAAACTCCACAAAAAACTTAAACTTCCGTTTCAAAAACTCCACAAAAACAATAATTCTTTGTAAACGTTCGTTATTAATAAAATTTGTATAATATTCATGCAGCTAAATCAAAAACTCTAGAAAAACAATGACTCTTGGTATACGTTCGTCATTAATGAAATTTGTATAATATTCATGCAGTGAAATCAAAAACTCTAGAAAAACAATAACTTTGTAAACGTTCGTTATTAATGAAATTTGTATAATATTCATGCAGTGAAATCAAAAACTCTAGAAAAACAATAACTTTGTATACGTTCGTTATTAATGAAATTTGTATAATATTTCTGCAGTGAAATAAAAAACTCTAGAAAAACAATGATTCTATGTAAAAGTTTGTTATTAATGCAAAATTTATAATATTTATGCATTGATATTATTCACATTGTGTTATTTGTTGCCAGGTGAGGGCGGAGGACAGGACAGCGCCCTTACAGAAGCCGACCTCAGGAGCGAGTGGGACGAAAGCAACGTCCCTGCGTTCGCTTCTTATGAGATCGGCGTCATCTTGTCTCGATATCCTGACGTAAACATTCAGATTCTTTGATTATTCTTATGAGATCGGCGTCATCTTGTCTCGCTATCCTGACGTAAACATTCATATTCTCTTATTATTAGATGTGAGAAATTTTACCCTTGATTCAAACTGGGCAGTTTCATGGAAAGAGTGGAATTCTGAGACATTACAAGTTCTTAATGTCAAATTTCTTGGCGTTAAGTGCCCCAGCAACTCAATACATTAAGATCGTGTTTTGTAACCTGATCATCTATTTAAAGTTTCTTATTAAAATGATACTTTACATTCTAAATTTTAGTCTTAATTTTATATTTTTAGCGGTTTAGTAATACTTATAGTCCTTTTCAAAACCCGAGGTGGTCTCTGATGAAAAGATTATTATTATTATGCCGTTTTCTGGATGATATTTTTAGAAAAAATCAATTTTATCACACCACAATAATTAATAAATTACCTGTGTTTATGTGCAGTCAACTTGAACTATTATATGTTGTTCATGACGTTACTGGGGCCATACTTTCAAAACTCACTAAGTTAACGTAAGTACTTACGCTCTATTTTCTTGTCTATGATTGGTGTATTTTGCTTGAAAGGCCGTCAATGATTGGCTGATGAACTTACGATCTCTTAACTTTTTTTTAAAGTATGGGCCCTGATGACGTGTTGTGTGTGCAGAGACGCGAGGACAGCAAGCAGTGGCTGCAGGCGGCCAGTGATAAGTACTCCGGCTACGACTTCGAGAGCAGACTCTCCGTCAAGATTCATCAGGCTCTGCGATTATTGGATTAAGAAATATGAATTGGTGGAATGAATGAATGAATGAAAAAATATGACTCAGTACTCACTGCAGTGAGTGACAGAGAGCGCATTTTCTCGTCGACGAAAACGTGAAGTCACGGACGGACAGACAAACGGATGGACGGACGAACAGACAGACGGATATGGCGAGTACAATAGTGCATTTTTTTCATAAATGAGAAAATGCGCTAAAAATGAATTGGTGGAATGAATGAATGAAAAATGAGCAGAAGGCGTACTTTTCAATGATACGCTTTTTTTATCGGGTTAAACTGGCTCAGGCTGACCCACAAAAGCGCAAAGAGTTCTTTGCTATTTGGACAAAATCTCACCCGTTTCTCATGGTGTGGGCTGGTGCAATACTCCTCTTCGAATTGAGAAATTAAAATTTGTAGAGCCCACCTCGTTTTGGTTTGTGCAACGTCTTGTCTGAAAGAATAAAGAACAGAATTGCAGCTCAAGTTCCATGGAATTACCTCGGCCGCATCCTGTATTGTCTTAACTTAGCTCGCCCCTGTGAATGGAAAGAGTAATGTTTCTGTTCCATTCTTCAGTATCCTACAGCACGTAATTTAAATCTTCGATTAAGTCATCTCCGAGTTTCAAAATTAGAGGAAGTGATGAAGTGAGTGGTGAAATATTCATAATTTAAAATGTAGAATACTTTAAAGGCTCCTCTTCTTTCCATCTCAAGCCTTAATTCTATCGATGAATGCCCAAAATTGTATTATGAATCTTTGTAAAAAAAAACCTAAATTTTTTTGTTTATCAACACGTTGACTACGTATTGGTACATATGCGTACCACGAAATGTATTTCTCCAGGAGGTAGTGGTACATAATTCAGGTTGCCTAAAATCGGCCAAATCAAAAAACAAAAAAGGCCGATAATTCCAATGTATACTAGTTTATTTGTAGGTTCCGCTATAAATATTCCATTTATTTTTTTTTTTGTATTTAAATTTTAATTAGGAAGTACCCCTATCATAAATTTTAGCCGGCCAAGGCAATTGAGAAAAACTAAATCACGAATTTGTCCGGAAAAAATGACCGTCTGGCAACCCTGCTTTAAAAAAAGTACAAAAAAATGAAATAATAGTACAAGATGAAGCAATCGTAGTCAACGTGTTAATAACTCAATATATCAGTAACTCTTATTGACTCATTTAAGGATCATTTGGCAGTCTCTATCCAAGAGTATAAAGCCAGAGTAAATCATGCGTAGCAGAACGTAAAAATTATTATCAGGAATAATAGTTCCTGCGAAATGTAAACTTGTTCAATTAATTCATAGTTAATATATCGTTATAATGAATATCATGCTTTATCATATTATTATTCATATCAGGCTATGATAATTGCTATGTTCTATAATGTTTTTGTCAATATCATGTTAACTCCAACCATGTTCTACTACAATGAAGAGCTTGTATACGCGCACTTGGATCACGTCTGACTTGAATGTTGAAAGTTCCACAAGATAATCAAAACGCAGCGTTTCTCTCGATCTCTCGTAAAGTATAATTAGCACGAACTAATTCATGCATGTTTATTTACTCAACTTTTTGCTCATATTTAATGCTAGACTAGATTTGCAATGCCCTCAACATAAAAAATTCGCATAGCCTTGCGATGACATTGCAGGTGTTATTTATTGTTAACTACTTTAATGCTAAACTAGATTTGCACTGACCTCAACATAATAATTTCGCATGGCCTTGCGATGACATTACAAGTGTTATTTATTGTTAAGAAATAATATAAGCCGAAGTGCTTTGTATGCGGTAGTATGTCACAAAATGCTCACCTCTAACCTGTACGCATTTACTCTTTAATTAACAAATTATATCGTCCGTCCGCAGTGTTGTGCTGTCTCGTACGCTCGAGGCCAGAGACTTCTTATGAACAAGCAGATTATTGGCATACTTTATTAGGCGGAACTTGTTTTTCTTATTGTTTAGTACCTGTACGGTTTCCTCATTATTAGTTTTTGCGTGTGTCTCATCGTTGGAAAACTCGGTTTTTGTGACTTAACATCTCAGGTATGGAATCAATTTCACATTTATTGAAAATTCAATTCCACGAAATTAAACACAAGTCTGCTTGCTAAGCTCAAAGGACATCACTGCTTTACAGTATATAGGGGTTACAGGTTACTTAATTTACGCATTAAATTATCAATATTTAAATATTATTTATTGTGTACAATACGAATGGCGACTGCGTTGTCTGAGGATTGGTAATTCTCTGCAAATCTATATTAGTTTATTATATAACAATTCTCTCACTTGTTAGTCTATAGTTATAGACTCACGACGACTGCCTTCTCTGCTTCTGTGCTGTCTTGCTATGGAGCTCCTGCTACACTTGGTTGTCTTCACGTCGCCCCTACAAGCTACAATCACATAAATACAGAGTGAACCAGAATTAACTGACCCTTTTAATTTGTTAATAAATAAAAAACTAAGAACGTTATGAAGTTGAAACTTGTTTTATTTAAAAGAAGAACATTTTTATGGTAATATTGTATCCTAGTTTTTAGGATACAAAAACTAAGTAGGATATAATATTACATACAATATTTTAACTAATACATATTATTAATACATAATAAATATTTTAACTAATAGAATTATAAAATATTGTAATAGGATACAATATTTTAACTAGGATACAATATTACTATAAAAATGTTCTTCTTTTAAATAAAACAAGTTTCAACCTCATAACGTTCTAAGTTTTTTATTTATTAACAAATTAAAAGGGTCAGTTAATTCTGGTTCACCCTGTATATGGCTCATATTGCCCAAATAGTGACACTTTTGTACCCATACACACGAGAAGATAGCGGACGTAGCACTGATACGCCCATTGATCGGGCTAAACTGGGTAAGGATGACCCATGCGAGGGCAGGAAGTGTATCGCTACTAGGACAAAGACGTTCTTATTGCTTTGTTATAAGCGTTGTTGTTCCTGCACATTATCGCATGAAAATATAATCCTTCATTTGAATTGCTTGCATCATTTACCCCCGGCGCCTAACTGTTGAAGAATATATTCCATGATCCAGTCTATTGCTATTAATTTAAATTGAAGTGAACGGAATTTCTCATTAAAATAGCGGTGATACGTTGATTAGCCCATTTAACCTTCGCTGATCATGGACATGACCGAATTTTTACAGCTTGTTGCGGGTCTCAAACATGCAACTCCCTGCGCCAATTTTGCTGTGCCACTCACTGCTGTTTTAACCATGGTTGAATTGTATAAGGTTGACCCATCACCAGTATAAGGTCAACCAGTATAAGGTTGATCCATCACCGAAATGCGATAAAACCAGTCAAGCAATCCGTCATGGGAATGACGGGTTTGTTTACGTTTCTCGATCTACGTGACGTAACAAGAAAGCTGAACTGAAAGTCGGAAATCCTCGTGGGTCAACCTTATGTAGTTCAACCATGGTTTTAACCGCCCAGTTTCCTTGCCGATTTGTACCAGAACTGTCGCCGGAGGCTGGGATCGAACCTGAACGGATCGAACGGAGGCTGGGATCGTCGGTTTATTAAAGATGGCCTGCAAAATACGCGATGGTAATTGCTATATATTTTACTTTTATAATTTTGACTATGAAGTTCCAGCTACCCTCTATCAACGTTCGATAAGGCCTACAACTACCAACGGTTTACCACTAATTTTAATAGCATGCGTGCCTGGGTGCCACTCGCTGTGCACTGTACAGTCTCATTGCCTACAGTCAAGCGATGAACTACTTGAACGTAGGTTTTCTAACTCGACCATACGGCAACGCAGTTCAAATGAGTCCAAAAGCTCATGAATATTTCCTTTAACGTGGAATGAACTACCTCTTCATTTGACAAGATATGCCGTTCACTCGTCCTCGACACTCAGTCAACCATCCTCGACACCTAAAACCTCCGTCCACATGCTGAGGTTTTAGGTTCCCAGCGTAATATCAATATTATAAAATTAAATAAAAATTAGGCTGGCATAGTTAGTTCATCACTGGAAAACATGATTAATGTAACTCAGCGAGACTTTGGGAGCAACGAGAGTGGCAAAAACCTCGAATTTTTAATTCGAAAGCGTGGCAGCCTCTTTAGTGTGGAGCAGAAGAGGGAAAATACTATCGCCTGTGGGTGATGGTTTCTGATTATGATCATCCAGGATCATTGAACAGGCATTTGAAAAAAATACGTAAACAAACAGCGGTCATTGAAGTAAAACTTTAAGATCACAAAATTCCTTCATCAATGTGCGCAAGATTTAAGTGATGAATCACTTAACACTACCAAATCACTTTACGATCAATAATCAGGCGACGATATCGCAAAGGTAGAGCACTTCTTTTGATTTATTGAATTATTTTGCATACATGAAAGTAAGTTTTGCGTATTCAGAAGCATGAATAACAGAGGTTTGGAGGTTAAAATTTCGATAAGGTTGCTGCTTGCACATTCATCCTGCGTAAAGAGTTTTATTGCGATTTGCAAAGTTCAAAATGAATTAAGAATAATAAATAGATTTCAGTATGATGATTGTAACGCAATACATTTATAATTAAATTAATGTATTGTAATCATTTCTGCGAACAAAGAAGCCTGTCAGCCATTGCCACGGCCATTTTCAGCTTCGTAGTGGAGACGCTATGTCGTCATCATGCAAAGATGTACGAAAAAATCGCCCCATACTCCATCGCAACCAACCACGACCGCAAGTAGCGTGGCAACTCTTTTGTTTACGTGAATCATTTTCACGTCTACTCCAGTTCACTGAACATATTAGTCCACTTCTAATTTTGGTATCATAACAATGGTGTTCGCTTCACCTTCAGGTCAGATCTTTAATATTGTGGTAGGCAGACAATATAAATTGTCATTAAATCTTTGAAACTTATAAAGGACTTGTGAGCATATCAAGTCGTGTTTGCTCGTGAATCAATCAGAAAGAAATATACGCGCTCTGTTATCGATACATTATGAATGAATTAGCTTTCGT